CTCCTCCCCCTCCTCCGCCTCCTCCTCCGCCTCCTCCTCCCCCTCCTCCTCCCCCTCCTCCTCCCCCTCCTCCTCCCCCTCCTCCTCCCCCTCCTCCCCCTCCACCCGGTCGTGAGGCGTGTTGGGCCGTCTGCGGCAAGCAGAAGCTCCAAAAGGCGGTAACGTCGAAGTCCTTCAACAACCGCCAGACAATCACTGAGAGTGAGCCTCTGGGGGCCCTCTTGGGGCTGTCTGAGAGCATCTTGGGGCTGTCTGAGAGGCCTTCCAGGGACTGTGCTCGTGCCACCTTGGGGCCTCCCGCCCGCTCCTCCCGGCTCTTGGACCCTCGTGGACCTCCCCGGGGGGGTCCCCTCGGGCGCTCCTCAAGGGCCAGGAGACCGCCCGCAGGACCTGGGGCATCCGTCGCCGGAGGAGTATACCTGGGCATTTTTCGTCCGGAGACCCCCTGGGGGCCGCTCCCCGCGCGCGCGCGGGGAAGAAATATTGTGAGCCTATGACCGGAGATTCCAGCACGCCTTTGGCCCGTTTGGCAGGCGAATTTCCGTCTCGCATCCTCTTCCATTGCCCATCATTGTTCCCCCACAGCATGTATCACCCTGCTCACGCCCCGTTTACAGCCAGACTTCTATTCTTTCATATCCAGCATCGCCGTACATTGCTGATAATCTTCCTTGGGGGCGTCTTCACTGATTGCACATCCAGTCGGCACTTTCCACATACTATAAAGCCGATTGCAAATGCTATCAGCTTGGATGAGAGCGCGACGGCAATGGCATCTCCCGGCACTAGCACACAGCTGGCGTGGGTTGCCTGGGGCTCGGGCGCCAAGATGGCCCACCAGCGGCTGTCGTCGATGCTCGACAATGCCTGCAGCAAAGACTGTCCGCTGTGATTGGCGGAGGAGAAGGTCGACAGGATACCAAGTACGCGCCACCAGTGGGGAAACATTTGAACGCGAGGTGCGGTTTTTGAGATTGCCCGACGGCATCGCAGATTGACCGCCGTACTACGACATCGACATGAGCAAGCATCACGCGAGTGGCGGGGGGGATCACGGTACTGTAGTCCACAGCGGGACCTCGAACCCCCGGGGGGGCAGATTGCCCGAGTCAGAAAGGAAGGCGGGGAGGGAAGGGGTGCAGCGAAGAGGCGACGGCGACAGGAAACGGAAGGCAGAGGCATGACTCCTGCGGATCGCGTTCCCACCACAACCCCACCCGCTAGCGCCACCACGAATCAGGCCACCATCCGAAGAGCGGCTCGTGCAGTCTTGGCTGCCCGAGCGCCTCCCGCCTGACAGAGTGTGGTGGGACGCCCACAATGCCTGACACCCTGAGACCACGTCTGGCCCTGGAAGGTAAGTGGTCGACCAGCTCACAACCAGACAGCTTCGTGGTGGCGACACCAAATCAATCGGCTTCAAAACGCGATCCGACAAACTGACGGAAACGACAATAAAAGAGACGGCGAGAGCCCAAGCACATTGAAGCCATTTGATTGTGAGTCGATGCTCTCCTCCTCCTCCCCCTTCCCTCCCCCTTCCCATCCTCCTCCTCCTCCTCATCCTCCTCCTCATCCTCCTCCTTCCTCCTCCTCCTCCTCCTCCTCCTCCTCCCCTCTCATATTAAAGTCAGACGCTTCGGCTTTGACGCGGCAAGAAGCCTCTGGTGGCAGGCAGATGCCGTGGCGCGCGAGAAGAGGTAATCGTCACTCACTGGTGTGTGAATCTTGGGAGGAGGGCGAGCAGGATCAGTCCTCCTCACTCGACTCCAGCAGAGCAAAAAACCTATCATATCGATGGCATTGCGCCGGTGCCCCGCAGGCACATCAAGCACAGCGGCACCATCCTGGTGATGGAGAACGAGATCACAATCAAAAGGAGTAGAGAAACGCACTCTATAAATCGACGCTTCTTCAGGCACTGCACTGAAATCTGCACAGGAAGACTGGTCCTGGTGTATACGGGGTCCCTGTTGTATACATGTTCCGTGCTTCCCAAGAAAATGAGAACAATGTGTATACACCACACCAACCCGACGTCGACCTCCAACAAAATCCTGGGATCGAAAACACAACAGCCCGCCACTGGTAGTTTATGTGTTCTTGCTTCCGAAGGAGGGCAGCATGGAGCAGGTCCTCCAGAACGTCGAGGGGGCCAAGAAAGCCAAGAAGGTCCTCCTCCTCCTCCTCCTCCTCCTCCTCCTCCTCCTCCTCCTCCTCCTCCTCCTCCTCCTCCTCCTCCTCCTAGTCGGCGTGGGCAGGATCGAAGCTTTACCGACCCGACAGGAGGGTACGAAGCTTCCACCACGCGACTTGCACGGCCTATCCGCTTGTTGCCTCGGCCAAGGGAGGAGGCAGGGGGAGAGGAGGGCAGATACGGCCACATACACCCTCAGTCCGCCTAATGAAAATTTCCACCTACAACCCACAGAACGCAGCAATGAGCGAACGACTAGAAGACATTAGCTGCGAACTGAAGGGCTGGGACATTGTACTATTAAACGGAACACATCACTGGGCGGCAGCAGAGGGAGTATTCACCCACCGACTACCACACCATTTGGCATATCGGTTTGGAGGGAAGAAAGGCAAGCTGGTGACGAAGGTCTGTGGGATCGCCATTCTGGTAGCTCACCACATACACCCGACGTCTCTACGAAGCACTTATGTCCCCCCAGCCGAGATCCAAGGTCGAGTGGGGGGCCTCCGTATTTGGTCAAGAGAAGTGGACTTCTGCTTTTTTAGCGTTTACCTCGCCCCCATCCACTGCCAGTCCTTCTCCACGATTGCAAAAAAAATGACGGGATGGGTAGAGAACCAGTGCGACGGGTTGGGGGCTCGATGCACTGTAGTGGTGGGGGGAGATATTAACACTCAGCTAGGCTTGCATAGAGGACCAGACGGAGTGGTCACTGCTAACAGAGGAGCGACGACGGGACCAAAGCACCACTTCCTGGAGAATGAGAAGGGGCAGTATTTCAGGGAGATGCGTACAGGCTCCCATTTAGCAGTGGCTACAACGTATTACGATGTGGGCCCGACCTACTATTCCCCGAAGGGAGGCTCCAGCACAATCGACCACATTGCTATCCCAGTCTCGGCCCTTCCTTTTGTGTCTCGCTGCGTAGCGTTGCGCACGTCGGCGAAGAGGCTGCAGCTGATACGAAGGAGAGGACACAGAGATTGCCAGAAGATACGGAGGCCATGGCACTCATGCTGTTGGACAAGAGTTGGATGCTGAAATACTCGAAAAAAGGCGGCAAGACGACGGGCATGGCCTAGATGGGGGACCCCTGTGGAACTTACTTGGATGATCCTGGATCCCGCGACGCATCTTGAACACCCAGAGCTATTGAGCCGCCAGATAGAAGCCAGTAGGATTCGTGCAGCGGAAGGGAGAGAGGACGAGGAGGATCTGAGCAAGTACTCGACACCGTTTCGTTATCGGCTAGGTAGAAGAATATTGGAAGGGATGGGGTGGAACAGTGGAGAGGGACTGGGCAGTACGGGTGAGAGACTGGACGGCACAGAGTTGGACGCATGCGAAGTGACACCGTACTTTGTGGACCGGCCAGGGGGAGGGGGACTGGGCACGGCTAATTTGCGCAGGAACGACGAAGAGGGACCGTATTTGTTCCAGCGGCTTCTAGATCAGCTGTTGTTGAATGCAGGACATCGCAGGTGACCCCCCTGGCGCGGCATCGTTCTATTTCCTTCGACGCGGATGAAAACAATGGGAAACCAGGCATCGGAGGGAAACGCATCATGCATGCATACGACTCTATGAGTATGGCGTGGCATTGGGGTATACACAAAAGGGGCCCTCAACCTAGTCACCCCCCATGGGCCCAAGGAGGCCTGGCGCACAGGAGCCGCGAGAATGCGACTATTTGCTTACAGGCTGCGCAGTGGAGGGCCAGGGAAGGGGGAGTGCGCATTGTGCACACAAACTAAGATTGCAGCAACGCATTTGCCAGTGCGAAGAGGGAGCTCCTCCAGGCGACGGCTTGGAAACATGCGACCGAGGCAGACCAGCCATTCGCCTTAGGAGCATCTGCAACACACAGTTCAACATGCGATGCGCAGACGAGTGGATGCACGCAGAGACGACGGTGGGGGCCCAGATGGGATTCACTCTGTGCCCGCGCCAGTTCAACGATGTCTACAACTTGTATGTAGACAAGTGGCTGCAGGAGGAAAGAGACAAGGATATACACCAAACGTGGCACGACACACGGAATCCTGTGACGGACACCTGGCACGACTTGGCACTGAACACGTTCATGGACGATGCGACGCGCACACACACACACACACACACACACACACACACACACACACACACACACACACACACACACGATTCTCCAGGGGGGCAACGACCAGCGCGGTGACAGAACAGCTGAACGGGGCAACGACCAGACTGGAACAGACAATTGGCAAGGGCGGATGGAGGTTGAACCAAGACAAAACCAACCACCTATTGTGCATCTGTGGCCCTGGGAGCTACACAGTGACAAGGCAGCTCAGACGGTCCACTGAACTAAAGGGGGAAGCGCTACGAGAGATGAGGGTCCTGGGACCTTTCCTCCCATCCGACCAGGGGCTGGGGGGGGGGGAATACGCAGACGGATATCAGCCATGAAAGTGGCCTGGAGGCAATGCGGCAGTTTTTGGAGCTCAGACACCCCTGACCCCATCAAGCGCACCATGTTCATTGCATTCGTCTTGGGAGCAGCATGGAGCGGCATGACGGCTTTCGCTCCCCCAGCTGCCCTCACGGATGCCCTCGATGCTGCGATTGGAAAGTACTTGCGCAGACTTGCAGTAGGACGGATGAGTTGGCAGCTCGAATCAGGTGAGAAACGTTGCTACCCGACAGCACGAGTGTTCAAAGAATGGGGGATAGAAAGGAGTGCCACGGCCCTCAGGACCAGACGATTAAAGTGGCACAGAAACTGGGCGTTGTACCCCCACGAGCATGCACATGTTATTGCTGCAGTGTTTGGCGAATCCAAACTAGACGAGAGGAGACAGATTCGCAGGCTGCAGGCACAAAAGTGGGCGTGGTGTTTTTCGACCACGTGGGCCCGACAACTCAAAGCAGATCTGGATGCACTGGCTGAGGTGGCGGAGGAAATGAAGGCATGGTACGACAAACGGACCTCGGATTCCGAGATCTTTTGCCCAGGGACCCAAGCGTGGCAACAGTGGACAAGCATGGATGCGACGATTATCCGCAGTGCAGCACTGACTTGGGACCAGGGGAAGGAGGACGAGGAGTTGAAAGGAGAAGAGGAGGTGACAAAGCCCTTTTGGTGCGATTGTGCGGTTACGGACGACCAGGGACATCCGAGGGCATGCGGGAAACGGTTTGCGACGACAGCGGCACTCATAGGGCATCGCAGAGAACTACACAACATCCGACCATTGGTAGCCAGCTTAGCGGCGACTAACCAATGCCCTTGGTGCGAGAGTACCTTTGCAGACAGGCGCACGGCAATTGACCACGCTACGAGGGCCGCTGACGGACATGGAATATGTCACCGTGATCGCAGCAAATGGAGCCACCCAATTGTCCCACCAGCAAGTTTGAAGTGCAAGATCTGTGATTTTGAGGCTCAAGACCTGCCCGAGTACCACGCCCACGCGAGGACTCATCGCCCTGGCCCCACTTCGGTCTGAGAACCCAAGAAGGGTGAGGCACATAGAGGATATGCCAGCCGAACTAATGGGACTGCGACCGCTCGACGTGCCAGCTTGGGGCCTCAAGCGCAGGGCAGACAGAGGAGACCTCCAGCAGTCAGACGAGAGGGTCCCGAAGGAGGGCAAGGGGGGCTACCAGCAGGCCAAGGGCGGGGGCTCGAGCGGGGCAGCGGCGGCAGGAGGAGGCGAACCACCGCGCAGACCGCAGCCGCAGAAAGGAGGAAGCAAAGGAGACGATCACCACGCCCAGCTCGGACAAGCGATCAGAAACCTCCAGAAGCTGTCGCTGCGAACGGCGATGGTGACACGAGAGCAGCAGCACCTCAACTCGGACTTCTGGCTGATCCCAATCTCCTGTTCGCCGTGTCGAGTGGCCATCCAAACAGGAAAAGACTACGCCATGCAAGGAAAAAAAAGCACACGATGGGCCCTCCTCACGCCCACGTCGCAGTTGCTACGATCTCCGAGATGAAAAACGTTCTGGCGGCGACGATCAGCAAAGAGGGGGGGGATCGGACTCTGCAGTGGAGCTACGAGATCCTCCAGCACTGGTTGAACCTGGCGTTCCACGAGAAGGGTCGAGAGCTCGCGCTAGAGACCCTGAAGCAGCTCAAGGCGTCGGAAGCGCACAGGCCCAAGGGTCAAGAGGACGACGGCAATGGGAAGGGCAAGCTGCTGTACACGATCAACCCGATGCCGAGCATCAGGGCGGCCATGGGCGTCGAGAGGGTCCCCAAGGAGAAGGACGAGTTCGAGATGGACGAGGACGGGAACCCAGAGAGCATGAAGGACGGGGAGGGGCATCAGAAGGACGAGCTGGACGACTACCACCCTCCCTACCTGAAGTAGGCGATGGGCTACACGCTGAAGCTGCTGGGAGGGGTCTACAGCACGAGCCACGGCCCCAAGAGCGACCTGGAGAGGCAGGTGGAAAAGCAGTTGCAGGCGTCGAGGTCGTAGGAGCAGGGGGACTGACCAGAGACGCGGAAGCGTCCTTTCAGAGCTTTCAGAGCAGCCAGGGCGCGCCCAGTTCGACAGGCCCGGCCAAGACGCCAGTGCGCCCAGTCTTTTTTTTCACAGCGGCGCCCTCGCCTCAGACGGTAGCCCAGCCAGTGACAACTCCGCAGTCCCAAGAGGAAAAGCTTGCAGAGATGCTGAGCCGCAATCCTGGGGAGAAGGAAAAAATGCATTAGCAGACCAAGGTGGGAAATACGGAAAAAGCAAGCAGTCGTACGAACTAGCCAAGCAATTTCAAGCAGAACGGCCCCAAGCATTACGATATCACTCGGAGGGTGCAGGAGGACGAGGAGGCAGTGGAGGTAAACGCGTTTAAGATCGACAGCAGAACTTACTACTGACTGGAATACGACGGGGGGCAGACAGCACAAGTATGACGGTTAATTGGGATTATACAGTTACGACGGGTACGTACATGTGACAGGGGAGGGCATTGCTACAGGACGGGGAGGGGCAAAGCACTATCGCAGAATGATGAAATGGTAAAGGAGTGGGGACAACGGAGAGCACAAGTGGTAGGTTACATAGGAGGTGAAAGTACTGCGACGAACACTGCTACAGAAGGGGGGGGAATCTGGACACCGAGCAGGCACCGACGTCGGCCCGTCCTTTGTTCCGAGCATACGGCATTGCTTCAGAGCAGATAGCACTCAGAAGGGGGTAGCAGCATGCAGGGCTTCGGATGCTAGTGTCAGCTGAACAGGATTGTTCTAACACGAGAACAGACGTGCAGGCGGGGTCATAGGCCTAAGGCCCCCAGGAGGGCCCATAGGAGAGCTCTACTATACTCGAGGGGGGGGCCGTAGCGCCCATACGGGTGGGCACGATCCCTTAAAGGCGACGGAGCGTGCCCCCCCCCTCGAGTCTCTCGCTTGTTCGCCTGAGCCCTCGGAGAGATCACACTGCCTTGACTCCTGCTACGTGTCCCACCGACGGTTGGTCACAACAGGAGTGGAACATCCGTAGCACAACAGGCTTTCTGCAGTTGCGGTCTTTTGTTGGCTCGCCACGCTAGCTTAGCACCAGCCTGTCCCGTGATGTCGCAGATGCTGCCAGCGATCGAGGAGGCACCAGTGTTTCGCGGAGACACCACGGACAACCAAGTCATCGGAGATGAGGCGTACGTGATCAAGCTCCAGGAGACCAACATCCAGAAGTGCGTCGACACGATGGCGGACCTCAAGAAGAAGCTAGAGATGCAAATCGAGGTGCTGATTGCCCAGAAGAAGGTGCTGAGCCAGAACCTGGCGCGCAGCCAGCAGGTGATCAACACGACGGCGGAGGGAGCGTTCATGCTGGCGGAGAACATTCAGACCCTGGCCGACCAGATCAAGAGCATCGACGAGACCACGAGCGCGCTCATCTCAGCACACGGGTCATTGGCATGGAAATACGACACATCACTGCAGATGGCATCGACTAAGGAGTATAGCAAGCTCCAGCTAGATGAGAAGGAGGACTTGCAGGGCTTGGTCATGTCGCAGAAGGTGAAGAGGGCCATGTTCGAGGCGAAGAGGGCTAACAATGGTACCATCCCACCGTGGAGGGCGGACGACCCGAGCTCGTGGATCTTCTACGGGTGGACGCCGCCAAAAGGAGGAATCCCAGTGTGGAACGAGGACGACCCGAAGACATGGACGTTCTTCGGTTGGAGAGAGCCCAGGAAGTGGGTCGACTACAAAGAGGGCAAGAGCACCAAGCCAGAGACGCCAGAGGAAGCAATTCCACAGAGCGAAGCGACGGCATCAGCATCGAGTGACGGGTGCAATGTGCCGATCCCAGAGTCAGAGGAGGACCAGTCGTAGAGGAGAGCAGAGAGTGAGGAAGAGAGGCACGGTCACTGAGAGTCCGTTGCGCAGCTCCTTTGCATCTCAGCACGGCCGTTGACCGATGAGAAGCTAGCGTGTGCAAGAGAGAGACATCGACACAGTCATGTGGGGGACCACGGAAACAATATGACATGACTGCAGGGATTGTGAGTGCGTGGACACGACTACTGGTCAGCCCCACTAAGGACAACCTACTACTGGTCTGTTCCACTTCTGAGGTCCTGGACCGTACCTCCCAGTCGAGTGTTCTTGGTTTAGGAGCTGCGAGTTTCGAGGAGGTGGGGAGAGGTGAGCGTGGGGGGAGGTCGTTTCGTCCCGTGCCGCCCCGCCCCCGCGCGCCCGCCAGAGAGCGCGCCGCCGCAGGAGGCAGGCGCCCCCGCGGCTGCGCCCGCCCCGCCAGAGAGCGAGCAGCCGCAGGAGGCAGGCGCCCCGCGGCAGCCCGTCCTCCTCCTCCCCTCGGGTTGTGTGTGTGTGTGGAGTTGTGTGTGAGGGTGTTGTGTGTGTCTGTCTCGTGCATGTCCTTCATACCCCTTGCCTTGGAGGGGGTGCACGTTGCTAGTTCAGTAGCCCGTACCCCGCTCCCGAGACTGAGAGCAGGACGCGATAGCGCTCCCTGCACGGGGCCCCCCCCCCTCGTTATTTACCAGGGGGGCGCGCCCCAGGCAGGCCTACGGCATCAGGCGTAGGCCCTGCATCCATATTGTTTCGCAGGGATATTATAAGGTCTTGTCCCGCGGTGCCTCGTGCCTGTCGTGGTTAGGATCGAACTCATCCCCTAAGCGCCTTTACCTTTACCTTTACCTCCTCCTCCTCCTCCTCGGGCCCCAAAAAGGGCCGAACCGTGCTGTCAGGCCTCGGTGTGGAGAAAGCTCCCCTGGCGAGGTGGAGCACGCTGCAGCAGGACACCGGGGCCAGCGACACCGTCGTCTCGGTCTGGAAGCTGCTCTGAGACGAACCCAGGACGAGGACAAAATCGGGTGAAGGCAAAAATCGAGAATCTCTGATATCTGGTGAATCTGGAGGACGTCTCGGGCGCCGCGGCCTTCTCGGAACGTTCCGGAACGCTCTGACAGCGTTCCGGAACGCTCTGCAACGAAGTTATCCTCGTCTTAGCCCTGTCCGGTGCTTGTTCTCCCGAACGTCCAGGCCGTCGGCACCGGCAAGCACGCGTTGAGAAAGGGCCAGGGCACGGAGGAACGAATCGTCGGACTGCTCACCGACATCATCGACACCACCAGCGACCGTGGCGCTCTCGAGCGGGCACCAGCAGCTGGAGCAGGACCACCAGGCAAACTAGATCAATACGTCCTAGGGCACCGTCTTCCAGGTCGGGGATTCTGGACGTCTCGGCCTTCGGGAGCCTCCAGGTTTTGTCGCCAGGCCAGTTGCGGCCAGCACAGTACACAGACCAGAGCTGCACACACATTCAACCATGCCCTCGCCAATCATACTACATCCTGGCTCTTGCTCTCCTTCTCACCGCCACATATTTGCCGTCATCCTTTTCCTTCCCAAGATCCCTCCTCCTTCAAAGACAGTAACAACAACATCATCATCATCATCATCATCATCATCCTCCTCCTCCTCCTCCTCCTCCTCATCATCATCATCATCATCATCATCATCTGTATCAGCATCATCATCATCATCATCATCATCATCATCATCATCATCATCATCATCATCATCATCAGTATCAGCATCACTATCAGCATTATCATCATCATCATCATCATCATCATCATTATCATCCTCATCATCATCATCATCATCAGCAGCAGCATCAGCATCATCATCAGAATCATCAGCAGCAGCATCATCACCAGCCTCATCATCCTCGCCCTCATCCTCATCATCAGCATCAGCATCAGCATCAGCATCAGCAGCAACATCGTCATCAGCAGCAGCATCTTTCTGCTCATCATCCCCCCGTCCTCCATTCTATCAACCTCTTCCTCCTTATCCTCCTCCTCCTCCCACTCCTCCTCATCCTCCACCTCCTCCTTGTCTTTCTCCTCCTCCTCATCATCATCATCATCCTCATCCTCCTCCTCCTCGTAGTCGGCAGCATTATCCTTACTTCTCATCCTCCTCCTCCTCCTCCTTCTCCTCCTCCTCCTCCTCCTCCTCCTCCTCCGCCTCTCTCTCTCTCTCTCTCTCCTCTCGGCCGTCCTTCTTAAACTAGACGCCGCACCGTGCCATGCGCAAGGCGCACGGCGTTCCTCCTCCTCCTCTGCTCCTCCTCCTCCTCCTCCCCTTCCTCCTCCTGCTGTTCCTCCGCATCATCCTCCTGTCCTCTTCCTCATCATCATCATCCTCTTGCCCCTCCCCCTCCCCCCTCCTCCCTCTCCTCCCCCTCCCCCCCCCCCTCCCCATCCTCCTCCTCCTGCTCCTCCTCCTTCCCCTCCTGCTCCTCCTCCTCCTCCTCCTCCTCCTCCTCCTCCTCCTCCCACTCCTCCTCCTCCTCCAGGAGAGCCTGCAGGAGGGCGTTCACCCAGCACCACCGCCCCAGGTTGGGGAAGGCGCGCGGCAGGGCGGCGGCCTGTCCCGGGCGGCGAGGGCGGGAGAAGTGAAAACCCGTCGACACGCCGCCCCCGACGACCTCGACGACGACGACGACCACCACGACGACGACGACGACGACGACGACGACGACGACGACGACGACGACGACGACGACGACGACGACTACCTCGCCTCCCCCATCCTCCTGTCCCTACTACTGGTCCTCCTAAGCCGATCAGCATCAGCATCATCATCACCATCATCATCAACATCATCATCAGCAGCAGCAGCATCAGCATCAGCATCCGCATCAGCTTCAGCATCAGCATCATCCGTATCCTCATGCTCATCCTCATCCTCATCCTCATCCTCCTCATCATCCTCATAATCATCGGCATCGTCAGCATGATCAGCATCAGCATCAGCATCATCACCGTCAGCATCCTCAGCCTCTTCTTCTTCATCAGCATCAGCATCAGCATCGTAATCAGATCAGCTTTATCATCATCGTCGTCATCATCATCATCATCATCATCATCATCATCAGCATCATCATCATCATCATCATCATCATCATCATCATCATCATCATCATCATCATCATCATCATCATCATCATCATCAGCACCATCATCATCATCATCATCATCATCATCATCATCAGCAGCAGCAGCAGCAGCATCATCGTACTCATCATCATCAGCAGCAGCAGCATCTTCATCACACTAATCATCATCATCAGCGGCAACATCATCATCATCATCATCATCATCATCATCATCATCATCATCATCATCATCATCATCATCATCATCATCATCATCGTCGTAATCATCATGGTCGACCTCGTTTTCACAGTCGTCAGCATCGGCCTTAACATTGCCATCATCGTCGTCCTCATCATCATCATCATCATCAGCAGCATCATCGTCATCATCGTCATCATCATCACCATCGTCATCGTCATCAGAATCATCAGCGTCATCATCAACAGCATCATCGTCACCGGAATCATCGTCATCATCCGTACCACCAGTATCGTCATCATCATCAGCAGCAGTAGCATCACCATCACTCTCATCATCATCATCGTCATCATAATCATCATCATCATCATTATCAACAACATCATCATCATCATCATCATCATCATCATCGTCCTCGTCCTCGTCATCGTCATCGGCAGCAGCATCGCCATCAGCAACGGCATCATTATCATGTTCTCCATCATCATCAGCACCAGCCACATCATCATCATCAGCAGCATCATCCTCGCCGTTGTCATCATCATGTTCATCTCCATATTCATGTTCATCTTAATCATGATCATCCTCATCATCGTCGTCGTCATCATCGTCATCATCGTAAGCATCGTCATTATCGTCAGCATTGTCATCATCGTCATTGTCATCGTCAACGTCATCGTCGTCGTCATCACCACCCTCAGCAGCAGTTACGTAATCCGCCACCGTGCCCCCTGGAACGTTAAGGCGTGGCAGAATGCCAAGCGCTGTCTGGTAGGGTTTCTGTAAATATTCGAAGCGCCCCCCCTCTCATCCCCCCCCCGGACCGGAGGGCTCCTGCGAGCCCGCAGAAGAAGACTCCCGGGCGCTCGCCACAGCGACAGCGACTGCCCAGACAGGCCACCAAGGCCACCAAGATCGCCTCAAGACGCACCCTAGAGCCTCACAGAAGCGCTCACTTGGTCTCAAGAGGCCTCCAAGGCCCCAAAATCACCTAAGACCCATCCTAAGGCGCTCTTCAGTTTTCCCTGAGAGGCCGAAAACCATGAATCGTCCTGAAGCTTTCATGTTGTCCTCCTTCCATGCTCTTCGGCCAAAGATCGGATCACTTGCAGTCTTCGAAGGCTCGAAAGGGCCCACTGAGAGCCGCAAGAGAACGTGTAGACGGCCCAGGACGACCCCCAAAGAGCCACAAGCCGGCCAGAGACGGCCTCCCGACGGCCCAGGCCGGCCCCAAGATGGCATCATGGCGGCCCCAAGACAGCCCTGCGCCTAAGAGGCCCCGCCAAACGGCCCCAAGAAGGCCCAGGAAAGACCCGAGACGGCCCGACAGGGGAGCCTCAAGGGGGGGGGGGCGCCCGCCGCCGCGCGCCGCCGCGGCTCGCCGCCGCCGCCGCGGCCCGCCGCGGCCGAAAGCGACCGCACGGCGAGGCAAGAGAGGAGGAGGAGGAGGAGGAGGAGGAGGAGGAGGAGGAGGAGGAGGAACAGCCCCAAGACGGCCTCCATAACTGGAGACGATAGGCGTCGCATAGGACGGCCTTGCGGGAGGTGCTCGAAAGGCCGACACACAGAGTGCTTCGCTGGGGCAGTAGCGTACTCACCGCAGGCACCTGGAGAATCATCATTACAACCGCCACTCTTCGTCGTCCTCCTCCACCTCCCCCTCCTCCTCCTCCTCCTCCTCCTCCTCCTCCTCCTCCCTCCTCCCTCCTATTCTCCTCTCCATCATCATCATCATCATCATCATCATCATCATCATCATCTCATCATCAGCATCATCATCATCATCATCATCATCATCATCATCATCATCATCATCATCATCATCATCATCATCATCATCATCATCATCATCATCATCATCATCATCATCATCATCCATCATCATCATCATCATCATCATTCATCATCATCATCATCATCATCTCATCATCATCATCATCAGCAGCAGCAGCATCATCATCAGCATCATCATCAATCATCATCATCATCATCATCATCATCATCATCATCATCATCATCATCATCATCATCATCATCATCATCATCATCATCTCATCATCATCATCATCACCATCATCATGACCATCATCAGCAGCAGCATCAGCATCAGCATCAGCATCAGCATCATCATCATCATCATCATCGTCATCGTCATCGTCGTCAGCATAATCATCATCGTCATCATCATCATCGTCGTTGTCATCATCATCATCGTCATCATCATGAGCAGCAGCAGCAGCCTCATCATCATCATCATCACCATCATCATCACCGCCACCACCACCATCATCATCATCATCATCATCATCATCATCATCGTCATCATCATCGTCATCATCACCAGCATCATCGGCATCATCAACACCGCCACCACCACCACCATCATCATCATCATCATCATCAGCATTGGCATCGTCGTCGTCAGAGTCATCGCCATCGTCATCAGCATCATCGTCGTCATCAAAAGTATCATCTGTATTGTCATCATCATCGTCATCCCCATCATCCTCATCAGCATCCTCATCATCATTCTCATCATCATCATCATCGTCATCATCGTCGTCATCATCATTGCCATGACCATCAGCAGCACCACCACCGTCATCACCATCCTCATCGTCATCCTCATCCAACTCATCGCCATCATCGTGATGGGCATCATCATCATCATCATCATCATCATCATCATCACCATCACTATCCTCATCATCATCGTCATTGCCATCGTCATCGTCGTCGCCATCAGCAGCACTGTCATCGCCATCGCACCACCATCACCATCACCATCGCCGTCACCATCGTCATCGTCATCGTCACCGTCATCCTCATCGCCATAATTGCCATCACCATGCAGCCAGGACGAAGACGGATGGCCATCGGGCCCGGCGCGCGCAGGGACAAGGCCGGGTGGTCACCGGGGCCCGGCGTGCGAAGCGTCCGTCGCTGCAGCCAACATCGATCCGGCCAGAAGCGGCCTCCGTTGCAAGGTCACCCCGCACTGCGTCCCGGGGGTCGCTGCCTCCCACCGGGGGCCCCCCTGTGGACAAGGGGGGCAGGGGGAACTCAGGCCCCCTTGCTTGTGGACACGGGGAACTCAGGACCCCTCCCCCCGCCTCCCCTCTGTGGACAGGGAGACCACCACCATCCCCCCTTCCACATGAACCCCCCCTCCCGAAGGCACCCTCCTCACTACTCGTCTCTATTGTTGCGGGGTGCTGCGTATTTTCCCACATGCCTCCAAGAGACCTCAGATCCGCTCCGAGGCGGCTCCCAGTGGCCACGAAGCCTCCCAAGAAGTCTTCCAAGAGGCCCCCCAACAAAGCCCAATATGCTCCCAAAAAAGCCCCAAGAAAGGATCATGAGCGTCAGACGCGGCGGCACTGGTCGTCAGGCAAACGGATCTGCTCGGAATGTTGCAAACCCGTTCCAAGAACTCCCTGGGGGCATTGGAGCGTGCGAGATGGCCCGACATTCTTCCAAGGTGGCCCCAGGTAGCCTCTGTGAGGTCTCCGAGACAGCGCGAGATACCCCAAGGTGGTTTCTGGCGAAACCACGAACGACCAGGCGCGCGGAAAAGGAGCGTGGAACGGAGTTGCTCGGAATGGTGCAAGCCCGTGTCGAGGTTTCCTGGAGGTGTATTAGAGCGTGCGAGCATGTCCGAGCTTCCTCGAATGAGGTCCTTGCTAAAAACATCCCTGCTCAGGGCAGCTCGACCAATGTCTGCCGTTGGCTGGGCTGGTTGGGACACCCGAGGCATCATTCTTCCCTTTTTCGCCCAGGCGAAAGCCGCGACAAGCCCGAAGAGCAGCAGACAGTGGCCGAGGATGAATCAGGTTGCTCAATGACTAGAGCCACTTTAAAACCCAACGGGTCCGTTTGAAAACTCACTGACCCGAGGCATCCTGGATTTGAAAACTTGACGAGCCCCATCCGTAAGCGAGATGAAGAGATTGCAACGCACGCGGCGAGGCCGGAAGCTTCCTGCTCCGTCTAGCATCCCTCTGAAGCGAGACTACGTAGACCACGCACACCTCTTGCAGAGCGAGCACGTCACCTGCGCAATCGTTGACAGCCATCTGCGGACCAGTACGTAGGACCACTGCGAACTTACGCGCGAGCGGTGCTACCTGATACCAACTCGAACTGATTGAATGGATCGTTGAAGGCAGCTGAGACTGCTCACAACAGTGGAGCCGCAACACAGCAGAAGTGAGCGAAGGCTGGCCAAATCAAGCCAAGTGCCAAACGTAGGTAAGCAGAGGCAAGCACGCTTCTGGTTGGAAACTCAAGCTGAGGGGAACGTGAGAGAATTGTTTTGCCAGCGTGGACCCAAGACAGTGCGGTTCTCGCAATATGTGCTGGGCAATCTCAGTAAAGCAATATATTAGGTGCAACCTACGTGGTATGCAATATGTTTGGTGCAATGCATCTTGTGCAATATATGCTATGCAATATTTGTGGAGCAACATATGTGGTGCCTTCCTATATAGTGAAATATATGGATGGTGCCAACTATGCTGTGCAATCTATGTGGTGCGCAATCAGGTGCGCAATCTATGTGGTGCAATCGACGTGGTGCAATCTTCGTGGTGCAATCTATGTTTTGCAATTCCCCTGGCCGAACTTGAAGTTGTCCACTCCACTGCTCGCGCAACCATCCCGCACACACACACACACACACACACACACACACACACACACACACACGCAACTTGGTTTGCAAAACCCATGCGGAAACGATTGCGATGAGTGTTTGGTTTTGGAGCCCTCGGGGGCGCCTCAAGAGCGCCCCAAGAAGGCCAGAGAAGCAAGAAGGCCGACGACGACGACGACGACGACGGCGGCGACGACGACGACGCCGACGTCGCCGACGACGAAGACGGCGACAACGCCGACGCCGACGACGACGACGAAGACGATGACGACGTCGCCAACGAAGACGACGACGACGACGGAGGAGGGAGGACGACGACGGCGACAACGACGACAACGACGACAACGACGAGGGAGGAGGGAGGACGGCGACGACGCGAACGACGAAGAAGGAGGAAGGACGGCGACGCCGACGACGATAACGACGAGGGAGGAGGGAAGACGACGACGACGACAACGACGACGACGACGACGACGACGACGAATAGGAGGGACGACGACGAGACGCCGACGACGGACGACGACGACGACGAGGGAGGAGGAGGAAGGACGACCACGGCGACAACGACTACGGAAATGACCACGACGCCAAACAGGACGACGACGACTGACAACAGGAAAGACAGAGGATGACGTAGGCGACGACGACGACGACGACGACGACGACGACGACGCGGGAGGAGGGAGAACGGCGACGACGACGACGACGACGACGCAAGATCGCGCGCGCACGCTTTTGTTGAAAAGCCGTGTTGGGAAACCTTGTGTTTTTGTAGGTTTTTTGGACACACGATTTTGAAATCCTTCCGAAACCGATGGGTTTTGAAGGATTTCGGCAGACGCGCGCGACGACGCGCACGTCTGCACTTCGTCCCATTTTTTGCAAAGGATTCTCGCGACGGCACACGCGCAAGGGCGTTCGACAGATTTCGACATGCGCGCGCGCGAAGCCCGTTTGGTAGCATTTTGTGAAAATCTTGAACAACCTATGGTTAAGATTTCGCAAGAGCTCGGGCGTAAGTTTTTAGCAAATCAGTGTTGCGAAACCCTGTGTTTGTGTATGTCTTTTGGAAACTCGATTGCGAAATCCTTCCGACACCGAAGATTGTTGAAGGATTTCGGCATGCGCGCGCGACGAAGCGCGCGTGCACACTTCGTCCCATTTTTCACAAGGGATCCAAGAAAAAGTATTATGGTATAACAAAAATGTCCCCGCGTATTGTTTTTTACAAGGGAAACTCAGGAGGACCGATCCCGGCCCCCCAGGGATAGTGTAAATTCATATTTAGGATGGACATGTGGTCGGAATCATATATGATTTACATACCCGAAAGGGGGACCGATAACGCTGGGGGGGAGGTTAGAGTCTATTCTCTTTTAAGAAAGGAGAATATATGCGTGCACTCGACGTGCTGCGACGTATGTGGTGCAATCTATGCCATGCGAGCTACATGGTGCAATCTATGTTGCGCAATCCAGGCGGCGACGGGGCGGCGACGGCGACCATGGAACCGCCAGACCGACACCCAGGCCCAGACGACGGGCGGGCGGCGGCGAGGCGGCGATGGGGCGGCGACGGCGAGCACGGAGCCGCCAGACCGACACCCAGGCCCAATTCCTTAGAAAAGGAATAATTAGGAGCCCTATGTGCAAGCACTGTGTGGGGAATTGTGCAAAAACATGCTCCTGAACACCACCAAGCCACAACCCTGTTCTCGAAGATCAAAACATACGATCGCAAAGGCCACTCCAAAACCGTGTGATTTGAAGTCTCTCGGAAAGGCATCCCTCAAGGCATCGTCGTTGTCGCGACGACGACGACGACGACGACGACGACGACGACGACGACGACGCCCCCCGAAATGACGGCCTCCATGGCAGCACACAGCGCCAATCATCTGCGTCGGCCCCCCGCTCCCGCACGGCTGGCCCCCCCCCTTGCAGCCGGCGTGGAGCTGACGAGAGAACCATGCTCCTCCTCCTCCTCCCTCCTCCCTCCTCCCTCCTCCTCCTCCTCCCCCTCCTCCTCCGCCTCATCCTCCCCTTCCTCCTCCCCCTCCCCCCTCCCCTTCCTCCTCCTCCTCCTCGGGCAGGTGACCCGTGCGCGCTCATGTGCACGTATCCGCGAAGGGGCAGGCGGGCGGGCGCGCAGGCTCTTCTGGTCGCCGGCGCTGGCGGTCGCGGGCGCGTCTGTCGAGCCGGTGGGTCGCGCCGGGCACAGGGCACGCAGAGGCGGGCAGGAAAGCGGAGGGCGGCCGCGGAGGCAGAGGAAGGGAGGAGGCGTGGGTCGGGCATGTCTTCCTACAGGCGGATTGGAAGGTCAAAAAAAACAGCAACAAAAAGTTCAAAGAAAGTCAACTGTCGGCGTGTGTTGGGTCTCCCCTCCTTCCCATCCTCCTCCCCCGTCGGGGGAGAAAGAGGGAGAGCACCCTTCCTCGTTCGGGGAGCGGGTTCGCAGCTTGAGGGAATTCCATCCACGTCCTCCTTACGTCAAAAGGGAAGCCCCTTCCCTTTGTCCCTTCCCCAGCGGGGGGGGTCCCAGGGGGGGGTCCCAGGGTAGGGGGGGGGGTCTGACTCGCATCGCCACTGGGGGGGTCCTCCTCTCCCGCGCCAGAGTTTGTCCAGCGCGCCGGTCCTCCTCGGGTCCTCCTCCCAAGGTGGGGAGGAATCCCAGGGGGGGAGGGGAGTCAGATACGCATCCGTCCCTGGGGGCCCCTCCCCTCTCCCACGCCGGTCCTCCTCCGATTCTCCTCCCCAGGGGGGGGGCCCCAGGGGGGAGTCCTGTTCATCCTCTTTTCTTTCCTCCTCCTCCTCCTCCTCCTCCTCCTCCTCTCCTCCTCCTTCTCCTCCTCCTCCCCCTCCTGGTCGTCGGCGGCACTGGCCGTCAGGCCTTCACAACAGAATATCATCAAAGAAATTCTAAGATAATCAACAAATCCGCCGGCCCCTTGTGGGGCCACCAGGTTGTAGGACCAGGGCTTACTGTTCCCTGCACCAGATCCAATTTCCAGTTTCCACTGTTACAATATTGCTTTATGCTGTTTACTGTTCCTTGTTGTAGACCGCGCGAGAGGGGGAGCCGAAAACCAGCAAACCTAGCGTGTCCTGGGAAGGTTCTCATGATTTCTGGAGGGTCGAAATTGACACCCCTCACGCAGATCGGCGGGGTCAGGATCCAAAACCATTTGGGATTTGCCACATTCCTATAAAATTCGGTGGCCCCCCTCACGCAGATCGGCGGAGGCAGGGTCAAAAAACACATGCGATTTGCCAGCTTTCTGAAAGTCGGTGACACCCCTCACGCAGAGCGGCGGCGTCAGGGTCGAAAAAAAAATGGGATTTGCGACATTTCTAAAAACCGGCGGCACATCCTCACGCAGATCGCGGGGGTCAGGGTCGCAAAACTATGGGATTTGCTACATTTTTCAAAATCGGCGGCACCCTTCACGCAGATCGGCGGCGTCAGCGCTGAAAAACCAATGGGATTTGCCACATTTCTGCAATTCGGTGGCACCCCTCACGCAGATCGGCGGAGTCAGGGTGCAAAAACACAAGGGATTTGCTACATTTCTGAAATTCGGCGGCACCCCTCCTGCAGATCGGCGTGGTCAGGGTCGAAAAGCACATGGGATTTGCCACATGTCTTGAAATTCGGTGGCCCCCCTCACGCAGATCGGCGGGGTCAGGGTCGAAAAACACAAGGGATTTGCTACATTTCTGAAATTCGGTGGCACTCCTCATGCTCATGCAGATCGGCAGGGTCAGGGTCGAAAAACACATGGGATTTGCCACATGTCTTGAAACTCGGTGGCACCCCTCACGCAGATCGGTGGGGTCAGGGTCAAAAACACATGGGATCTACAACATTTCAATACTTCGTAGAAAAGCTTTTTGCACAGCATACGCGAGCAAGCTCGAAATACAACACCGAATTCAACAATATCATGAGAATCTCAATTTGTCTTGCCTATTACTCATCGTCTTCGCGTGAAGTCCCGACCCTGCTTCACGGCGGCGCCACGGCCCCATGATTCTGCTCTTGCATTGTCCATTATCCGAGAGAGGGGGCCAGCGGCAGGGGGCGAACCCCTTACGGATAATCGAAATACCCGGACGATTGTTTGACTATTTTTGAATATTTCTCCCGTAGAGGGACATGCCCGACTTAAGCGGAGGCCCGAGCCGGCGGGCATCGACGGGGGACGGAAGCGGGCAGGCGGCCTCGGGCAACGGGAGCCCCCCACGCACGTGCGCGCCAGCACGTTTTGTTGTCGCAGCGCCTCGGAGGCCATCCCCAGGCGCGGTCAAGCAGTCTGTCGGGGAAGCACAAAGGTGGGGTTGGGGCAGAGGTCGGGTTGGAGGGAAAATCGTTCCAAACGGCCCCTGGAAGAAGGAAGCGCGTTATACGGAAGCATCCAGCTGGGTCCGCTCCTCAGCCCCACCTTGGGATAACCTTCCCTCTACGAACCCCCGAGTCCGGGGCACGGGATACAAACCCTCCGGCTGCACGAGAAGGAGAGGAAGGCGGAAGGCGGCCGCGGGGAGCGAAAGGGGTGAAGCACTCACAGCGTGAACACGGGTAGGAATGGCCGGGGCGGCTGGCCGCTGCTGCGGGCGTCCTGGCACCGGAGTGGAACGGCATCGCGCCCACGTACAGCACCCCAGGGTGCCCTTGTGCCCCAGTCAAGCACAAATCCCACCAGCCCTTTGGGCGCAGGTGGTCTAGAGTGTTTCCTCTTTTACCCCTCCTTCTTCCCCTTCGGGGAGGGGTTTATCACTGTTCCCTATTAATAAACACCTCCTCCCCCAGGCGACTTGTAGCCACCCACAAACCATGAGGGCATCCCCTGACCATCCCGTCTTTCTTTGTTTTCTGATATTTGTATATATATATACACATATATATATATACCTATACGACCACCCTTCGGGTGATAAGGAGGTTCGGGGGGGGGGGGAACCAACGTCTCACTCGATCGGTCTCACTATCGATCTCACTATCGATCTCAGTATCGGTCTCGCTCGATCGATCTCCCTCGATCGATCTCACAATCGATCTCACTCCATCTATCTCACAATTGATTTGACTATCGATCTCAAAATCGATCTCACAATCGATCACACAATCGATATCACATTCGGTCTCACTATCGATTTCGCTATCGATATCACAACCGCTCTCACAATCAACGTCATCATCATCATCATCGTCATCATCATCATCATCATCATCATCAGCATCATCATCATCATCAGCAACATCAACATCAACATCATCATCATCATCAACATCATCATAATCGGGACACCGTCCTCATCATCAACACCAACATCATCATCATCACGGTCATCAACATCATCGGGACACCACCACCATCATCATCACCATCATCACAATCATCATCAACATCATCATCATCAGCAGCATCGGGACACAGTCATCGTCATCATCATCATCATCATCAGCAGCAGCATCATCATCGGGGCACCATCATGATCACCATCGTTAACATCATCATCATCATCATCCTCATCGGAACACCATCATCATCATCTCATCCTCATCATCGACATCATCATCATCATCATCATCATCAACATCATCATCAGCATCATCATCATCATCGTCGTCGTCATCACCGGGGCACCATCATCATCATTAACAACATCAGTATCAACATCATCATCATCATCACCACCACCGGGACGCCATCATCATCAACATCATCACAATCACCATCATAATAATCATCAACATCAACATTATCATCATCATCATCATCGAGACACAATCATAATCAGCATGATCAACATCAACATCATCATACTCATCACCATCGGGGCACCATCATCGTCATCATCATGATCATCAACATAATCAGCATGATCATCATCATCCTCATCATCGGGACACCATCAGCATCATCATCGTCATCATCATCATCGACATCATCATCATCATCATCATCATCGGGACACCATCATCATATCATCATCACCATCATCGTCGTCATCATCATCAGCAGCAGCATCACCATCATCATCATCATCATCGACGTCATCATCATCATCAGCAGCATCATCATCAGCATCACCATCATCATCATCATCATCATCATCATCATCATCATCATCATCATCATCATCGCGGGACACCGCGGGACACCGGCGGGACACCGCGGGGCACCGCGGGACACCGCGGGACTTTCGCGGGACACCGGCGGGACACCGCGGGCCACCGGCCGCCCGGAAGGGAATCATTTGGTCCGGCCGCGCCTCAGCCACACGGGACTGTCGCGGGACACCGGCAGGACACCGCGGGCCACCGGCCGCCCGGAAAGGAGTCATTTGGTCTGGCCGCGCCTCAGCCACAGGAGACTTTCTCTCGCCCGCCCACGCAGCTTCGCCTCGCCCGCACGCACGGCACGCACGAACACGAAACCGAAATCGATTTCCCAGTAGGGGGGCTCTCCGTTCCACTTCGATATCACCCCCTCACCTCCGATATACAATATATATATATGGCCCCCACATGATCATACATATTTCTTTCGTTGCTACTCCTCTTCCTCGCGCGCCCTGGGGAGGGAGGGCCTGGGGCTTCCTGGGGCTTCCTGAAGCCTCCTGGCCTTCCCGAGTCTTCCGAAACGCTTCCTGGGGCTTCCCGAAGCCTCCTGGGGCTGCCGAAACACTGCCCTGGTGAAAAACGCTGTGTTTTCCTGATATTCCTGACCTTCCCAGGGATTACCCCTGAGAAAACGCTGTGTTTTCCTGATATTCCTGATATTCCTGACATTTCCAGAGACTACCCAGGCGCCGAGGCCTCCTGGGGCTGCCGAAACATTGCCCTGGTGAGAAACGCTGCGTTTTCCTGAT